CGCCCAAAGCGCCGTGTGCAGCGCTGGTGCTTCAACTGCAGTGAGCTCCTCATGGACCCCCTGGGCCGGGCACAGCTCCTCGACTTCCTCAAGAAGGAGTTCAGTGGTGAGCAGCCCCAGGCCTGCACCCCAAACCCACCACTACATCCCAGATCCCCAAACCCACCACCCTGTCCCAGCAACCCCAGACCCACTGCCTCATCCCAGCACTCCCAGACCCACCAACCTGTCCCAGTACCACCTAATACACTGTTCCATCCCCGCAACACCAAACCAACACATTGCCCTGGCATCCCCTGATGCAACTCCTCATCCCAGCACCCCAAATCCACCACCACACCACATTACCCTCTGACTAACCTGTTCCAGCACCCCTGAACCCACCGCCTCATGTCACATCAGCTGGCTCCATCCCAGGGGGTCTGCTGGGCCATGTGCCCAGTCTTGATGGCCTTTGGGGGTTGCCCATGGGGGATGCTCAGCACTGTGTCCCCAGTGCCATGTCCCCATCTCCAGCCGAGAACCTGAGCTTCTGGGAGGCGTGTGAGGAGCTGCGCTACGGGGAGCAGTCCCGCATCCCCGAGATCGTGGACTCTATCTACCAGTGAGTGCCAGCGGGGTGAGGGTTTGGGGGGGGGTCAGGGTTTGGGAGGGTCCAAGCCATCATGGTGCTACATCCCACTGCGAGGCCGGGTGCTCACCACCAGCCATGACTCCCCAGGCAGTTCCTGGCCCCCGGGGCCACACGCTGGGTGAACATCGACAGCAAGACGATGGAGCGGACGCTGGAGGGCATCAAGACGCCCCACCGCTACGTGATGGACGATGCCCAGATGCACATCTACATGCTGATGAAGAAGGTGGGTGAGGTCAGGGCAGGGCTGGGAGGGGCAGGGCTGGGCAGGAGCCTGACACCTTTGCTCGCCCAGGACTCCTACCCGCGGTTCCTCAAGTCAGAGCTCTACAAGAACCTCCTGGCTGAGGCCATCATCCCCCCGGAGACCAAGAAGCGGTGAGGGCAGCGGTCGGCCCCTCGGGGTGCTGGTGTGGTTCCCACCAACGCTGACCCCACTCTGCCCCCAGGGTCTTCCCCTTCATGCGCAAGCAGCGGCACTCCAGCCCCAGCCCGG